TATATATATATATATATATATATATATATATATATATATATATGTTTAGTCCTCTCACTGCTCCTGTAATCTTTGTGACTACACTATCTAGTTGAATAGGAGACCAAGTGGTAGACAAAAAGCAGTTCTTTAATGTTCTTCAAACAATGCAACGGAGATGACAACTATGGCTGGAGATGCTCGATCATATGCTTCCGCTATCAAGGTTAGATTACATGTATTGATTTGTATATTTCTAACAAGTAATACTATGACCAAATGTGAAATTTCTGATAAAAAATGACTAAAAATGAACTGTCACCTATAAATCTAAGACAAAAAATAAATTTAATTTTACTTTTAAATAATGTACTTTTTATTTGCGGCCCACACAGCTGTATAGATCATGGTCCATGCAACAAGACTCTCGCAATAACAGCACCCGGCCCGTTTCATGGTCCACATGCAGGCTGTGTAATTTGTTTTCTAATCAGTATTGTTGAAGGTTAGGAAGACTTCAATTACTTTTTTGAGAATAAGAACTTAATGTATTAAATCAGAATGAAGAATATACCATAAGAATATTTTGTTTTAATAAAATATAATCAATCGACATAAAAAAATTTAAAATGTAATTATTTAATTATCAGATGTACATGAAGCTATAGTAATTTTATTTATTTATTTTGATTAGGTAATTTTATAATTTTTTTAATCATGGACATTTATTTAATTGCAGAACGTATGATTAGTAGAAAGTACTCTTAAATATGGAAAAAAAAAATAATAAAAAAAAAAAACCTTAAAAGTATTTGTTTTATAATCAATACGGAAATAGAATAATTGTGGAGCTCACACATGGTCTCAAACATACTATACAGACGATCATGTTGACAATTGACATGCCTTCAGTACATATAATTGTTGGTTGGTTCGCTATCATTTCAATTAGAAAACATTGTGGCAGCAATAGTTGAATAATACTATTGAATTGATGCGACACAATTTTTACACGGATTGAGTTATTATAGTGCTGCAAATAAGTATTACCGCAGCAGATCAATTCAAATTAAAAATGCTAATAGGCTGTTCTTGCTAAAAGTTGAACTTGTAATATCTATCTACTCATCTAATAAGAGTTAATAAAATTGGGCCTATAACGAAAACTAAAAAATATTGGTCAATTGTTTGTTGAAATAAATGGTTCATGTATATTATTTTGATTTTAATATTTTTTCTACTTTACCCTTTATTACATCATTTACTTTTCCTAAATAAATAGTTGCCCGGCATGCTCGCCACGTGTTCAGCATGCACCGATTAATTAGGTCGGCGACGCTTTGCATGTCAACACTTTACAACTCCCACGAGTCGGGTTCATTCACTATCTGGCTGATCAAGAGATCTATTCCGGTCTAGAGACCGATTCGCAGATTTGGAATCGACCATCCGCTGACCCGATAGATTGGGTACATTCGACCTAAGGGTCGGATCTTTATTTACTATCCCGTGATTGGGCGTTTTACAATCTCGTGATCGGGAAAGGCATCAGTCTAATGACCGAGCTTTCCTTGGCCATATAGCCATTTAATTGCTTAAAAGCTATCTTCCTTCGACCAGGACGGTCAGATACCCATCAATCTAGCTAGGGATCATAAATTTATGTGATCTAGCAATTGGCTCCGTCAGTGAGTTCTGTTGGTCTCTCCCGACCGCTCGACTGAACCATACTATGAGTGAAAATCCTAATATACTTGTAGAGATCGGCATTTAAGCCGAAATGACACATGATATATATATATATATATATATATATATATATATATATATATATATATATATATATATATATATATATATATATTAGCGCTCAAATGCGACAGTGGCTTTAGGTGCGGCGGTGCGGTCATATCAGCATCGTCCATTCTGCTTAATCTAACAGCAGCGGCTAATTTATGAAAATTTAAAGATTTAAGCGCGTCCTGGTAAGTGGGGGGTGTTATGGTAATTGTAGTGGTCATTTATATCGGTCGCTTGTCAGAATACACCAACAGCATTAACAAAAGACACCAATAGTGTTAGGAAAAGCACCACAATGAAATGCACAAATACACCAAAAAATACACAACACACCCAAAAAATACACCATATAACTCACCACCCCAATGATGTATTTCTGAACACTGTGTGATGCTTTTATTCATACCTAATGGTGCGTTCTGGTGATGCTATCTAATTTGTGCATGTTTTTTTTTGTGTGCATTTTCTAACATGGATGATGTATATTTGTATAACTATTAGTGCGCCCGCACTGACCGCATGAGAAGGCGCGAGCGCACCTGAACTTGGCACCAAACACGAATCCTCAAATACACCATAGTAAGGTTAATAATGCCCCAATAACGAACATAAAACACACAACACTATGATTTGATCTATTCTGGTGCCCAATGACGACTTTAACCTTGCAGTTCGCGTAGTGTGAGAACGTGCGCGAAAATATCAGAAAAGCCTTGATGAATGTGATTCGTTGGATTTATATAATCTAATGGCCTACAATTAACCGCATCGCCGCACCTAAGTGCACTGCCGCACTTGAACCCCTCTCTCTCTCTCTCTCTCTCTCTCTATATATATATATATATATATATATATATATATATATATATATATATATATATATATATATATATAGTATTTTTGTATATGTATTGGATCCAGTGAGGTTAGCATTGTCAGGTGAGGTCGTGAGGCTCAATCTTGTACGTTTGTTTGCATATTTGGACGTCCCAGATTTAATGAGATTTCTTGCTTTGTGCGCTGATTATTTGTAGATGTAGGGTCATTATTGTCTTTTTCTTTGTATCTTTAATAGGTAGTAATTATTTACTTGATTTTATGGGCTTGTGCAATTTAATTATGGTTCAAAAGTGGGTGTTATTTTCTTGCAACCTTAATTGCAGAATATTCGACTTCTTTGTAGTTGGCTTTTGCGTGTATTCTTCGGTGGTCTCTTCGGTTCTTGCGATCTCCTCGGTGCCGCGTGTATTCTCTGTCCGGTCTCTTTAGGCTATCGCCGACCCTGCTCATCTTTGTCTATGCCGTTCTATCAGTGGTGATGGCCGGTTCTACCAACCGTCGGTCCAAGCGTTTGAGGAGTGGGTCTTCCGGTAGCCACATTTTTGTTTTTTTTTTTTTTGTTTTTTTGTTTTTTTTTTTTTTGTTTTCTTTCGTGTATGTGGGTTTGTGCTGGTGTTGCATGTTTGTAGCGGCGAGACGGATGGGGCGGTGGTTCTGGTTTGTTTGGGTGGGTGGATTGTAGCGGGATGTTAGGGTTTAATTGTGTGGCTTCTCGTTTGTCTGCTTGCTTTGGCAGTTTTTTATGGTTGTTTTTCGAGTAATGGCGTGTTCCGGCGGCTAGGTCTGTGCATTGTGGTATGTCGGCGGCTTTAGGGTGGAGGGGTTTTGGGGGGCTTCATTGGGGTGTTTGGCGGTGGGTTGGTTAGGGTTTCAGCAAGGGGGGTATTAGTTATTGGGGTTGGTTTTGTTTTTGTTTTTTTAAGTTTTTTTGTGTTTTGGATGCCTGGGTAATGGTTTCTACGCATTTTTATTTTTTTGTTGTTGCTTTTTTAAGGACTTTATGTTTAGCGGGTGGTGTGTGATTGTCGTAATGTTTAGTAAGGGGTGGGTGCGTTATAGGATTACGGCGTGTGCATTCTGTTCTTATTTGTCCGGGGTTTATTCCGTATTGTGCTGGGTTTTTTTTTTGTTTTTGTTTTTTTTTGGTTTTTTTGCTGGGTAATGGCGTTGGTCGGGCTCTAAGGTATTTGCATGTCCTTGTATTTGGCCGGTTAAGGAGGGAGGGGGATGTGGGTGGTGTCGCCGTGGTGATTTTTGATGGGGGTGGTGGGGGTACGGCAATGGAGGTGTGAGTTGTTGCTTTAATTGTAGCTATTTTTTTAAAAATATTTTTAATGTTTTGGGGTTCTTTTTCGTGCGTTTGGTCTATTCGTGCATACGACTTCATATATGTGTTTTCGAAATAGTTTTGCACTGGAGTCTGTTCTTAAGTCCGGGCATTTGATGGTGTTTGCAAATCCACTGGCCTTAGTTTTGCGTTGTTAGTTATTGTGTGTGCAACTCCACTGGCCGCTGTGAAATGGTCATGTTTTTGCTCACGGTGCAGTGAAGGTATGGCTTCCCTGAAGTGAAAATGGATATGTCGGTGTGTGCGGGTGTGGTGATATGCGGTTGCATTACGTTGAATTGTAGTATTTAATTTAGCATTACGTGACATATGTACTGCGTGTGTTTAAATTTGCTATTGTATGCATCTGTCTATGTTTTCTTATGGTGGTGATGGGTGGTTGGTGATTTTGGTCCCACGTTTTTTTAAGAAGAATAATTTATTTTAGTCGGGGGTGGTGTGTTTGTTCGCCGTTGGGGGGGGGGGGGGGGGGGGGGGGGTGGTTGCGTAATAGGGTTTGAGCGTGTGCAAATTCAAATTCTGTGTGCATTTTCTATTTGTGGTGGGTGCAACTTTCTATTCGACTGTAGGGTATGGGAAATAATTCGTACACTTGTTTGCACAAGGCGTGTTGTAATTTTATTATGTGCGTTATAAGTTCGTTTTCGTTATAAATACGTTTTTGTATTTCATTTTCATTTTGGTCATTGGTTTTGTTTTGTTTTTTTTTTTTTTAAATAAAGTATTTGAGTTGTGTGCACTGCAGGGTTATGGTGTGTGCGTCTTAATCAATTTTGTTTATTTTGTAATAGTTCGGTCTTCTATCTATCTATTTTATCTGTCAATGGCATTTTCTTGTTTTATTTTTCTAAATGGTTTTTCGTTCAAGAGTATACATTACGAACTATGTGCAATAGTTCGTCTAGGGTTGTTCTTTTGTATTTTTGGTGTGTAGTTCGTTGTTATAGCATGTGTGAATTACATTGGGGTGAGTTTGTTTCATCTATTATTTTTATGGCTTTAAACTTATCTAGTTTGGTTGTCTTCCTTGTAGAGAACAATTCGGAGTTGTTTGCAGCACCTCCTGGTGTGGATTTGCCTACTGCCCAAACAGCTCCACCAGTTCCTCCTGCGGAGGTGTCTACCCCTGCTCAGGTACAACCGGTTGTGGATGGTGTGCATGTTGGGTCTCCACTAGTTGCCCCCGTTGTGGTGCCCATCCCAGCTCAAGTTCAGCCGCCCTTGAGTGGGGCGCAAGTGGGGTCCGTTGCTGATGGTGTGGCTGTATTCCCATCTCTGAACACTCGCGCATCGCCAAAGCACCTGGTTTCGCAATTAAAGTGGTTAAATGCCAACGGAAAGCCGTGAATCAAATTGGGTTAGGGGAGTTATTCAATCTTCAGGTAGATGACTTCCCTAAGCGTTTGGGTAGATAGCTGTTGAGTAAATTTGATCCATCGAACATGTGCGTGCTGTTGGAAAATGGTGCAGTAATTTCGGTCACTGAGAAGGATGTGCATGCTACTTTGGGACTGCCCTGTGGAGGTGTGGCTACACCTGTAACATATGATTCGTATTCGCTTACATATTAAATCACACAGCATCATTTCATCAACTAACTCATGACTCTTCGTGTGGTTTAATAATAAAATTTATGTCTATACATTTGCACATATCTTGCACTCTTGCACTGTCATTAAAAATAAAATGCATAGGCTCTACAGTAATTTGCACAGGCTAAAACAATAACTTGCACACGCTAAAATAGTAACTTGCACAGGCTAAAACAATAACTTGCACACGCAAATAAACTATCTTGAGAACGCTAAACACAACATACCATACATCTTGCACAGACAGTATAATAAGTTGCACACGCGTGATACATATAACTCGCACATAACTTGCACTCGTATTAAAAGTGAATTGCACATAGTACAATCTAACTTGCATAGGCTTGGAAACTATCTTCCACAACTTCAAACACTAATTATGTCAGGCTAATAAACTGACTTGAAAAGGCTTCACTCAATCATCGCAAAATCTTGCACAGACATAAAACTAACTTGAAACGTTGCACATTAACAATTCAGCAACACGCGCCTTCCCTATCACGTATTCGGTTATCCCAGCAAATAAAAATCTAGCATCTATTCTCGCACAGACATAAAACTAACTTGCACATGCTATATGAAAAATTATGTAACACACCGAATTCCTATTTATTTAGTTTTTACAGCAAATTAAAATATAGAACCAAGTTTAGCACACACATCCAAAAAAAAAAAAAAAAAAAAAAAAAAAGCTCCAATCACATGTCATATCAACACACTTGTCGCGTTGCTTATAAAACAATTTCAAATCAGTGCGGTACCTATTTTACTTAATGCTAATTCAACAAACGCCATCCTCATGCACTCTCTAAACACACGCCATCAATCGCACACACCATTTCGTACAAACGCACTCACTCAACATAATAACTTCACATACGTAAGAACATCATCCAAATCAAATCTAGTTCGGTTGCACATACCTGTTGTCGTATCCGCCATCACCGTCGCTGAAAAATAGAACGTCTTCCCTCGGGGTGTTCTAAATGATTGTTTTACTACAGCTCTCGCCACAAAATTAATAACATATATTACCGTAAATATATATATCTAATCATATTACCATTCATATGGAATATATCCCAATTAATTTGTACCCAAAAATAGTTACAAATTACAATTACTAATTCACCCTTATGCTTAAACTACTACCTTAAATATATAACAAATCTCTTTCAATCTCACCCTTCTATTTGTAATGCTTTAATGGATGAGATGAGATTTCATGATCTCATCCATATAAGTGACCTCATGGGACCCGGAGCATATATATATATATATATATATATATATATATATATATATATATATATATATATATATATATATATATATATATATATATATATATATATATATATATATATATATACATATATACATATATATAAAATCATGCATGATCAAATGTGAACTAGGTTTGTCGTGATAAGTGTCGACTAATTTGATCCATCTATGATCAATGACTAAAAAATGACGGGGTCAATTTTATAAATATTAGTATAAAGGAATCAACTTAGGGATTCAGTGCATCTATTTTTTAATGTAACAACAAATTAGACCAAATATGTTCATTTTGCAAACTAGCACTAGTAACTCAGTTGCACATGAGACAATACCAACAAAAAAGAAGCAGACAAGCAATGAAAACAAAGACAATGACAAACTTATCTAAAACCGAATTAACAAAACTTGAGTAATTCCAACCAAAAGTATTATATACTACCTAATACCATACCAACAACAATAAGTATTTAGATAATTGATTTTAGAAATGTGCAAATTAAACGAACATTAATTTTAATGCAAACTATAATGAACTTCTATATAATCTTGGATTGATATTCGTTGAATTACATATTTAAATACAAACATTGGGAATTAAATTAGTCGTGCAATGCGCGTGAAAAACTAGTTGTTGTTAATAAATCAACATTATAACCAACTTAGTTAGAGTTATATCCAAAAAAAAATTCTTTTGAAAATCATTGGTGGTGTGTTAAATTTGGTAACGGTGGACTACACTTCTTTCTTTTTTTTCTTTTTTTCTTTTTGTAATTTTTTAAAAGTTTAATAAATAAATAATAATCACATGATAATACAAATAAATTATAAGAAAAGGAATGTTTTTTGTCCTTGTATTTTATTTTATATGAAATAGTGATTTAGGTCACTCAATTGTTAACTTTTTTTTTAAATATGAAGGAGGGGGGAACCCAACAGAGTACTGCAAAGATTACATCGTGCATTTAGTCAGAGCTTACAAGTCTCCAATGAGGCCATCCAGAGTTATCATCGTCAAGGATATTTACAATGCCAAGAGGTGGAGACTAGAAAATATGGAGTCCTTTGGGAAGGGCCTTGGCAAGCCGTGCCATGAAGTCTGCTGCACCATTCTGTTCGCGGCAAACACCTTGAATCGACCAAGATTCCAGAGCGCGTAGTTCTCTCTTGCATGCGGTGATGATATTCCGAGTTACAGGTAGAAGCGGAGAAGAGCCATTGATGAAGTTAACTAACTCCATTGAGTCCGTTTCAAAAATTACTTTCCTAAAGCCCCTGCTTGCTACCAATTGGATTCCCTTGAGGAAGGCCCAGGCTTCTGCTTCTATAGGTGAGCAGCGGCCGATGTTGTATGCAAAGCCCTGCTCCCAGTTGCCCGCTTCGTCACGAATAATTCCTCCGCCTCCAGCTCTAGCATCGTGGTAATCAACTGCTCCGTCAATGTTAACCTTCATAAAACCGTCAGGGGGTCTGGACCATGACACAGGTTTCCATATGAGCTCCTGCATAACTCGGGCACCTTTGGCTCTGTGGTAGGCTGCGGATACTTCTTGTGCTTGCAAGATGATCCACTCGACTTTAGCTCTAACTGGTTTCCTCTCGTTTTTGAAAATGGCTTCGTTTCTCCATCTCCAGATCCACCAAAGTGCCAAGGCAAAGAGTACGTTTTTGTCAAGAGGGATTCTCACATCGTGCTTACCAGAGATTCCTTTTCTGAACCAAACTTCGAAAGGGATGTTCTGTGACACCCCGGAATTGTATGGAAGAAGAGCATCCCAAATTGGCTTGGCTTCACTACACTTACGCAGAATATGTTCCGTGTCTTCCACATCATTTACACAGCACCAACACTTGTCGCAAAGAGACATACCACGTTTCATTCTATTTTTATTCGACAGAATTTTGTCATGGGCAACTAGCCAGAGGAAAGTACGAACTTTATTTGGGACTTTAAGCTTCCAGATGCTCGTCCATATCGCAGCTTCCACCGGGGTGTGGAGCCCCGTGGCTATATCATAAGCTGATGATACAGAAAAGGATCCCGACGCTTCATTCTTCCACCTTACGGAGTCGATGGCCTCTGGGTCCGTTATTACTACAAATGCTTCCAGCTTCTCTATAACATCATCGGGTAACCTGTTAGCTAACAGGCTCCATTTCCAGCCAGTGTTCAGGTCCCAATAAAAGGAGACATTCTTAGTAATCTCTTCCGGAGGTACATCGCTAAGAGCATCAATCAAAAGGTGGTGGTCCTCTAACCACTTGTCTAACCAGAAAAGCGTATGCTCGCCATTCCCGACTTGAATACAGATGCCTTTCTCCAATAGAGGTACTGCTTTTAAAATACCCTTCCATGCATTTGACATATTCGCTCTTGGCTGCCATTGCTTACAATCTGATGGATGAGCCTTGTATTTAGATTTTAAAATTTCGGCCCATAGACTATTTCCTTCATGCATCAATCTCCATCCAAGTTTCGCCATAAATGAGAAGTTCATTGATTCCAGTCTTCTAATGCCCAAGCCTCCACAGTGCTTACTTCTTGTAACGGTGTCCCAGTTCGCGAGGTGACACTTTCTTTCGCCATCTATACTTCCCCAGAGAAAGTTACGGATCAGCTTCTCCATTTCCATGATGACTCCTGATGGTAAAAGCGTGGACTGCATAATGTGATATGGAATGGATGTTAGGGCGGATTGTATTAACACAAGCCTTCCTGCTAGTGTAAGGGTCCTATTCTTCCAACCGGATAGTCTTCCTTTCATTCTATCGAGGATGGCCGAGTATGACTCCTTCTTCAGCCTCCCATGAATGGATGGTACACCGAGGTATTTGCCCAAGTCGTTGACATTCGGGATTCCAAAGTATGAAGTGATCTCCTGCTGCAAGACTGATTCTGTGTTCCTTGAGAAGTGCAAGGATGACTTGTGTCGATTCATCTTCTGACCGGAAAGTAGGCAGAAAGTGTCCAGGCAGTGCTTCATTTCTTGAGCTTGTTCGATTGTGGCTTCCCCGAAAAGAATCAAATCGTCTGCAAAAAATAAATGAGAAAGGTTAGGCCCATTCCTTGTAATCTTAATCCCCTTCCATCGACCCCTGCCCAAAGAATCCTGAATAATGTGACTGAGTTTTTCCATACAGATAATAAAAAGTGAGGGAGAAAGAGGATCTCCTTGTCTAATTCCACATGTTGGGTTGAACCATTCTGTCAGCTTTCCATTGCATTGGACTGCCAGCGTAGGTGATGAGACACATTCCATGATGCAGTCAATCCAATTGCTATTTAGACCTATATCAACTAGAGTGTTTCTCAAAAAATCCCATGACAACTTGTCGTATGCCTTCTCGAGGTCCACCTTTATCATGAGCCAACCTGTTGACCCTTTCTTGAATCTCATAGAATGAAGAACCTCCTGGTAGACCAGGATGTTATCTGAGATCATTCTTCCTGGTATAAAGCTTGTCTGATGA